TTCAAATAAATAGTAGCTATTGTTGAGGATATCAGTGTTATATCCTAGCCACAGTCTCTCCAGACCACTGCCCCCTCTGACTATGGAGACAAGCCCCCTCCCCTCAGCTCTCTGCAGGACAGACTCCTCCTGACCCTGATTCTCTAATAACTACCCCATCTTCCACATCTACACAGGTGACAGCTGTGAAAACTAAGACCCAAGTGTCCAAAGACAAATGGTCTGAGGGGTGTTGGTGGCTGTTGGGCCTCATCAACAGAGTCTTGAGAGTAGGAGAGACTGGCTGAGGCCCTAGGTCCTTTGTGCCATCAGTTGCCCCACCCCTACCCCCACTCCTTTTCCTCAGTGGTGGTATGTATTGGGGTGTTTGGGTGCGGGAGGGTCCCCTGATTTGGTAGTTGGATCTTGAAACAGATACTGGTTTCCTGCCCTGGGGGACCCCTTCTCCACCTCTGGTTACAGCCTGGATACCTGGTTTCTCCACACCTATCTCATCTGTCTTTCCTAGAAATTCTTTTCCTTGCTTTTCCACTAGGGGAAAGTTATAAATTGGGTTCTTCAGCATCTCTAGTCTCACCGTTTCTCAATAGACCCTTCCTCCCACCTTCTGAAAACCTATTACCCTCTCACCTACTCCCCCACCACTCTCCACCCTTGGCTGGGTGTGGACATTTTGACAGATATGAATGGCAGCCCCAAACCCAAGGATGAAATTCTAATGGTGGTAATTCAGGCATCCGTCAAAAAATTAGGAAATATGTGAGGAATGGAAGTTTTCCTAATGGCTCTGGACTCACTCCAGTTAGGAACAGACATAATTCATAAGGAAGAAAATTTCTCAGGTTGACTACCAGCTAATTTTGCTTTTTCTTTTAATTTAGCTTTCCTGGGCCAGCTTTCATTTCCACTGTCTTAATCTTCTTGGGTTTAGTGGGACTGATTTTTCTCTTGCCACAAGAAGGGAGCAAGAACTACTGATGCATCTTGAGAAACTGCAGTCGGTGCCCTGGGAACCAACTTTTATTCCCCACCTGCCCTCTGAGAATAGAGAAGGGTGTCCATCCCAGCCCACAACCTCTGACTGCCTGCCGGCCTCTGGACGTGCATCAGCCCCAGCAGGAAGCCACACCCTCAGGGTGTCACCCTCAACTCTTTATTCCTGTCCTTGCATCCTCTTTCTCTTTCCTCCCAAAGTGTTCATGTCCATCTCATTATTCCTGCTGCCAGGCAAGCCACCCTCTCCACCTTGGCCGGCCTTTGGCAGCAGACTTCTGCTGAAGGGAAAGGCACTGCTTGTTGGCATTCTTGAAAATCCACATTCCCCACACAGACCCATGAACTTGGGTGTTGAGTGAGGCTGGAGCTCAGAGAATGCCAGGTCTACAATATGGTACAGCGCCAGGCATTCAGGGCTAGACTTTCCTTTCCTCCCCCATTTCTTTCCTTCCATCCTTCTTCTCTCTGCCTCCCTCTCTCTCACAATTTGATACTTTTTGACATATATATATACCTGTGAATCCATTACCACAATCAAGATGGTGAACGAACAATCCATCACCCCAAAGAGCTTCCATGTGCCCCTTTGTGGTCCCTTCCACACTCCCATGTCCACGCTCCCCACCTCCTCCCCAAGCAAACCCTGTTCTACTTTCCATCACTGTAGATTACTTTGCATTTTCCAGAGTTTCATATAAATGGAATCTTATAGTATGAACTCCTTTTTTTCTGGATTCTTTCACTCAGCATAATTATTTTGAGATTCAACTATTGCATACCAGTAGTTGACTCCTTTTTGCTACTGAGTGGCATATCACTGTATGGGCATACCACAGTTCATGTATCCATTCACCTACAGATGATGGACATTTGGGTTATTTCCAATTTGGGGATGTTACAAATAAAGCTGCTATGAATAC